AGAAGGGAAGGACAGAGGGTGAGAAGGGCAGGAAAGGAAGTAGTTGATAGAGCACTGAAACTTTCTTTTGGGTCCCTCTCCCCCGCCCCCTCCTCGCGCCCAGCCCTCACCTCTCACCCTCCCCTTTCCCCCCCTCCGCAGGGCGCTGGGGGTTTTGCGGCCGACACCCTCCTCTTCTCCCTGGACCTCAAAGGGGAAGGGTTCAAGTCCGCTCTCTCTGCCTCTGCGTCCGCCCCCTCGCCTCGGGGATGGTACGGGCACTGTGTGACTCGGACGGAGGGGTACGTGGTCGTGGGGGGACTAGCCCCGGATAATTCCAGGCTGGGTGATGTGTGGATATTGGAGGAGGAAGGAGTGGAAGGAGGGCGCGAGGGCGAGCTTTAAGATAGGAGGAAGCGATTCACTTTGGATAAGGAGGGACGAGAGTCATCGTTGGAGGGTTGGTTCGTGCCCGTTCAGAATGGAAGGTGTCGGGGTTTTGCAGGGGGGAAGAGAAGCTGAGGGGGAATGAGGATGTCTTTCAGCGAAATAACAAATAAGTGGGTGGAGGTCTGAAGGCTGGGTGCTCAGTACTCTCTCACTCAGAATTTTTTATGAATAACTAAGGAAACCGCATTGAAGATTGATAAGACGACGATTCAGGAAGCGTGATGTTTGGACGTGATGGATAAAAAGAAAAGTGCGCATGTGATTTTTAACGTGAGAAAACAACCATAAATCTACTTTTCGTTCAAAGAAAAGAATCGGAGCAACAATAAGATGAACCACAGCTCGATAGCATAGGCTTGACTTGCTTTCTCTTCTTCCTCTATGTGAGCATAAGTCATCCCTCATCAACCGAAATCCTCCCTTTAATGTGCCGGAGAGATTTGCACATTTTTCTTTTATCTGCTTTAGCCCTACTCTGGTAAGTACAATGGTTGAGTCGATCTCTAAAATTGAAGAACATGCCTATGGATTCTATTGCTACTTATTTTCTGTGTTTCCATTGATTCCTACCAGGAACCGGAATAATCAACAAGTCTATTGCCCCCGTATGCCTGAATTTCTTGCGCAAAACCGGCTTTCTAATGACCCAAAAATAGCCACTCACATTCTATGTCCCCCGTTAAAGATCCTAAGCCACGGTAATCTTTCTCCAACCACAAAAGATAGCCGCATTTCTGCACAAGACAGTCTTCAATGCGTCAAGCCATTCGCGTCTCCTTCTTTCATTGCGCTCGCTCCGTCCTCCCCGTGTTTAGGTCTCGGCGTCGAGCGGCCGCCATGAGGGTAAAGCGAGGAGAATTGAAGCAACAGGAGCACGCGTCGCATCGGCAGCTGACCGCTCCTTGTCGCGGCCTGGAGATAAAAGGCAGTGACCGAGCAAGCAACGAAGAATGGCACAAAGGCGAAGGAGGAGGTAATTCGGAGGGTAGGACAAGAGGAAGTCCGAAGTGAGGCAGACAAACTTGCTTTGACATGATTTTCATATTCCCTTCTAGTCCTCGTTTTCCTCTCTGATGGCTTTCTTGAGACCTGCCCCCCCTTTCACTTCTCCCACTTTTCCCCATCTTTTCATCCCTTTTTACCTGTCAAGATATTTTGGCTGCGTACGGAAACCACACAGCCTACGATGATGGCGGCGCCCCCCCCAAAAGCTAATGCATCCACGCGTTGATGGAGAAGACAAATCTCGAAGATGAAAGCGAAAACGATGCTGAGACACACAAGGTGCATGGGCGAACAATCCCCGATCTCTCCCTTCTCTCCATCCACGGCGCTTTTGAACGTGTGTTAGGGTCATGCACACACCTGTAAGCCAATGCAGACGTGGCCATGAAGATAGAAGCCGCTGTCGTTGACTCCTTATATCCATTCGCTGTCTTCTCTTCAGCGCCATTGGAAGGAGGAGGAGAGAAAGGATCGGCATTGAATGAGGCAGAGAAGAGAGAGGAGAAGATGAAGAAGGGAGCTGGAGTGCAAGCAGACTATCCGTTGTGTTGAAGATGCGCTGCGCCTGTCGCCATGTTTGTTGCCTGCCTCTTACAAGGTGAAGTAGAAGGAGAAAGCATGATTGTGGTCAGTAATTACGTAGACAACAGATTTGTTGAAATAATCGAGAACCGTTCGCGGGCATGCGCTCTCTCAACATACCATGAATGATCCACCGTCCTCATTCTTTTCATCCTTGAGTTGCTGTGTGAGATTTAGTGTACACAACGGAATGTCAGCGCTCTCCTCCTGCGAGCTAGTAGAAAGCCGTATTTCTCCATCGATGGTAAGACTGGCTCGCACGTGAGGATGTGGAAATGCGTAGAAACATGCTGGCATGTCCATACTACCACTCTTGTTGTTATCATCGTTTTCTTGAAACAAGAGGCATGCTTCTTTCAGTGTTACATCACATCTCGACGTAGTTATCAATGATGGCGATACTGTCATTTCGGAGACCTCTTGATCCTTACACTCCTGTGGTACATTTCGTCCTCTAGCTCCGGGTGAGGGTTCCATGGAGTCAAAAGCGTGCTTGCAAGCTTGTAACCTCCTTCCTATAATGTATGGATATATAGTTACGTAAAATTTAAAGGTTAAAGCTGAGTAAAATGAAATAAGACGAGAAAGGTTGGAATGGAAGACGAAGCGGTATAGTTTCTCATTACACGCTAGCTACGACGCAGCCAGCAAAACTCGAAAAATACAAGCGGCATCCTCACGCGCATTTCAAGGGCTAGATAAAAATTCATCGAAGACTAAGCGCCGTTCTAACAAACAATCATAGGAAATGTAGTCGAAAAAATTAAAGCGGGATTCCTGTCACAAAATTGGACCATTAGAAAGGCTGGAAGGAGCGATTTAACGGCTTTGCAACAGTCACGAACGGCTCGAAACGATTTTTCCCTAAGGCTGTCGGGATACAAGAAGAGTCCATTCGGCTTTGCGGGACAACATTCAAGGTGTCGCATATGCACGCAATAATTGAAGCCATGTGTTGAAATACGTGGAAAAGGCATTCTCTGTTTACTCGGTTGCAATTTTAAGACGCAGCAACGCAGGACAAGCCTACATACATATCATGACCTCAATTTGATCATGCTTAAAGTAATATCTACATTCGAGTCTGATAAAATGAATGGTTCCCGTTCGCGTTTCCAATTTGTAAAGTGAGCTATTTTGTTTATTACTTTTCTCATCGACTCATGTCTCTTCTATCAACACCAGCCTTCCTTTCGATGATTTTCCAATTATCCGGCCTTCCTTTTCTTGCCCACTAACGATAACTTTCAAAGTTCTATGTTTTACTTGCTTCCAGCCTTTCGCACGGAAAAAAACGACCCGCAACTGAGAGGAAACCTTTCATCTCCTCGCAGACGACTTGCCTTGCATTATTGCCTTTTACTACAAAATGTGACTTTTCTTCAGCCGCTCGACCCAGCGATACATCTGGAACATGCAAAGGGCAAGCAATAGGCACATGACGATCACCGGCCATCGTCCTCCTCCCCCACTCCCCGCTGCGGCCATCACCGTGTTCACTTTCGAATGCAAATTCGTTTCGATAGCGGCGACTCGATGAGCCATTGCATTCTAGCAAACAATGAAAGTAGGAGAAGAAGGCGGGAGAAGATCAGGAAGAAAATTACATCACTGCTAGTCCTGCAACATCTACTGACGTAAAAAACAAGTTTTCCGCCAAAGAACCGAGTAGGAGCGGAAGAAGAGAGGGAAATAAAGAAAGAAAGAAAGCAAGAAAGACGTACTGAAATGGACCCCTCGACCGATTTCAGACGCTCCTCTACTGTGCCTTCCACGCTCTTGAAGAGTTCTTGCTCCAGGGCGACAATCCGAGCCTCTGAGACGTCTTCCTGGGATTGAAGCTTCCTAATGGTATTGGCTATATGGTCCTGCAGAAGCATGGGAGGGAGGGGGTAGCCGAAGGAAAGAGGGTCAAAGACACGTGGCAGCAAGCATTCGATGAATCACGAGGTCCGCGAAGGTGCACGAGCTGTAGTACACTTATGGCGTGCAGCAAACCTTCCCCTCCCTCGGCTTCCTGCGCCCGTCCCTTCTTGCCTGGATGGCGACCAGCTGATGCTCGTTGTGCGCCTGCATCTCGTCCAGGAGGTGGAGGATCTGCGACATCATGTCCTGAAAACAGTGGGGAAGGGAGAGAGGGAAGGAAAGAGAAAGAAGAAAAGGAACGGATCAGGAGGGGATGTATCTGGACGGGAAGGTGGAAGAGAGCACCGCGAGCAAGGAAGAGAGGATGAGAGGGAGATGGATGGGAAAGGGGCAAAAGATGAGAAGGCGGGAAGAAAATAAGGAGAGGGAAAAAAGTGTGTACCTCTACACGGTCCAAGCGCTCTTCCACAGAGAGATCAACGCCACGGCCTGGTTGGGGGTAGACATGGGAGTATGTTATAACGGTAAGATCAAAGACCACAAAGAAGATAGATAGCATTATTGCGCGGCTGTCTATCCCGCGCCCTTTTAAGGAGTGGTGGGGAAGGAAAGGAGAAAGGAGGGTGGAAAGGGAGGGAGGAAGGTACAAAGGGCGGGCGAGTGGAAGGAGAGGAAGAGGGAGGAGGGGGAAGAACGAGACAACGGACCGAATTTGGGAGTCACGATCAAGTCGTCCGCCTCCGGGTGCACGTCTAAATCGTTGAAGGTGTGAAGGGAGATCACGTCATGGTTGTCGGCGAGCTGACCCGTGG